ACGATCTTCGAGTTTTTATAAAACGATCTTCGAGTTTTATAAAACGATCTTCTAGTTTTATAAAACGATCTTCGAGTTTTTATAAAACGATCTTCGAAAATGTTTTCAACAGTTTTATAAAATGGTCCTCGAGTTTTATAAAACTGCTGCGGGGAATTTTGGCTATTGATTCCGTCGTACCGATTTTGACCCCAACACATTCAAAGAAGAAAGATTTTGGCGCAAGTACTTTATTGACAGAGCAGAAAGAAACACAGAAGAAAAATTGAAGTTTTTACAAGCTCTTACTTGATATACGCGGGACAGCGAATACGTGGGAAAACGGTTAGAATCTGGGCAAAAGTTTGGTAGTCCAACTTGTGGGCAATGGAGTTCTGGTTTTCAACAATGGGGAACACCTCCAAATCAACCACAATGGGATACACCTCCAGCTGCACCACAGTGGGGAACACCACCAAATGCCCCACAATGGGGTTCATCTTCAAATGCTCAGCAATGGGTTACACCACCAAATGTTCCACAATGGGGTGCACCGCCAAATGCTCCGCAATGGAGTTCATCTCCAAATGCTCCGCAGTGGGGTACACAACATGTTCCACAATGGAATGCACCTCAAAATTCTCAACAATGGGGTTCATCACCAAATAGTCAACAATGGGGTCCTACATATGTTGTTCCACAATGGGGTTCATCACCGACCACTCATCAATGGGGTTCATCACAAGATGCTCCACAATATATTCCTCCGAGCAATGTTCAACGTGGATTTTCCCTAGAAACAGGAGTATGAACTACAACAAATGAAAAGGAAGATCATGTTTCTGAGAATGTTGCAAGAGGAGTATCACCAGAATATGGTTTCAGAAACTATGCTTCTACAAGTAAAACATCACGTCCAAGAAGAGGAGGGTTATTCAACATATGGGGATCTGAACGAGAACTAAATCTAAATGGAACACATGAAAGTGATTCCACATCAGATAACTAGTTTAATAAGATTTGTGTGTTTGTTAGTAATGGTTATGTTTTGTTTCAAATTATATTTTTAAATTTATGTTATTGTATTATATTTTGATTAATGGTACTTTTCATTGATTAAGTCTTTATTTTGTGATAAAAAAAATTTTAAGACTTTTCGTATATGTCAGTTGCGATCACAAAATCCCCAAAGTCTAACTCATGATGAGAGAATTGATTTATGGAATCTGGAAAATGAGCAATTTGAAGAGTTAATAATTCAACCATCACTGAGTTATTACAATCGTTATTTTGAAAGAGGACCAGTTCAAATCGGTGGCGGTTTAGGGTGGAGAAATATTTAGGGTCGATTACAAGTAGATGCTGCTGCATGTCTTCAGTTACTACGAATGTCTCTGGATGCTTTTAGATCTCTTTGTGACATATTGCAATCAAAATATGGTTTGCATCCTACGCTGAATGTTAGTATCGAAGAGAGTGTAGCAATGTTTTTGCAAATTTGTGGGCATAATGAAGTTCAAAGAGATGTTGGGTTATGGTTTGGNCTGGATGCTTTTAGATCTCTTTGTGACATATTGCAATCAAAATATGGTTTGCATCCTACGCTGAATGTTAGTATCGAAGAGAGTGTAGCAATGTTTTTGCAAATTTGTGGGCATAATGAAGTTCAAAGAGATGTTGGGTTATGGTTTGGACGGACACAAGAGACAGTGAATAGAAAGTTTTTTGAAGTTCTTAGAGCGACGGAGTTACTAGCTTGTGATTATGTCAAGACTCCAACAAGACAAGAACTACTTCGAATTCCTGAAAGACTGCAAACAGACAGAAGATACTGGCCATATTTTAGTGGATTTGTTGAAGCTATGGATGGAGTTCATGTATGTGTTAAAGTGAAGCCTGAACTACAAGGAATGTACTGGGATCGACATGATAGGACATCGTTTAATATCATGGCAATATGTGATCTAAATATGTTGTTTACTTATGTTTGGAATGGAGCACCCGGATCTTGTCATGATACAGCAGTTCTCACGATGGCACAAGACAGTGATTCTGATTTTCCTTTGCTTCCACCAGACAAGTATTATGTAGTAGATTCTGGATATCCAAACAAACGAGGTTTTTTGGCTCCCTATAGATCTTCTCTGAATGGGGTTATTAGGTATCACATGTCTCATTTCAACAACGGTCCTCCTCCTAAGAATAAACAAGAGTTGTTTAATCGATGTCATGCATTTCTACGTTTTGTTATTGAAAGAACATTTGGAGTTTGGAAGAATAAATGGAGGATTCTGAGTGATTTTCCCAGATATGATATTGCTGTTCAAAAAAGAGTGGTAACTGCTACAATGGGACTACACAATTTCATCAAAATTTCAAATTATTTCGATGAGGATTTTGTTGAAATAATGAGAGACACAAATTTCAGCAACGAAGATTCTGAAAGTGATCCTCGTGATTTGGAGACAACAAATATGGCTGATGGAAATCATATGATGAACATTAGAGACAACATCACAGATATGTTATGGGCAAATCATTAAATTATTTTACCTTTGTTTATGTATTTTTTCATTATGTATTTTGATATTTTGGTGTAATTTTTATTATTTAAATACATGATCTGCATTTTTGAACTGTTTTTACCATTCATAACTTCTAAAATAACTTGTTCTACTTGACCTGTATAGATCTCTCCTGCTTGATCTGCATCTCTCCTGCATGATCCGCTTGATCTGCACTTGTCCTACTTGATCAGCATGATCTGCTTGATCTGTCCTGCTTGAACTGTTTTTACAATTCGGAACCTAAAAAATTCCTATTGGCTAAAAAGATGGTGGTATCGTTAAGCTGCATCAAAAGTAGAGGTGATAGAACCACATGCAGGACACCTGCTTTTACCCAGAAAAAGACAATAAAAAAATTAGCTTTGGGTAGATCTCCTGCATTTTTTTCCTATAGACATAAAACTTGTGATTGGTAAATGCAGTTCACAAAATACGAGTGTGCAGGACATCTGTCAATGATCTGCCTCACCATTCACACTCTTAATTATTTTTCATTCTTTTATTGTTTAACTAAAGGTATATAGACCACTTTATTATGTGTTGGAAGAGAAAAACAGGTTACGCTGATTTTAATTTTTTTTGTTTTTGCTATTTTATTTATTGTACATTTCCCTCTTAATTACTCCACTAAATTTACTCTCACGTATTCTCGTTAATTTACTAGTATGAGTTACTCCTTTGTTTACTAATCGTAAAAAATATCATGAACATATAAATACAATTTGTACAACAAAAAGTAAAATCAGTTTTGAAGTATCAGAAACAAAAAGAAAACAAATTTGTTAAAAATAATAAAGAAATCTAACATTTTTTTTGTTCTCTCGGTTACCTATGTTTCAAGGAAAAGGATAAAGTGAAGGCAGATAACTGATTGTCTTCACGTTACTTGCTTCTAGGTATGAGACGTTACTACATAATTAGTTAACATATATGTTCCCTAAATGAATAGAAAGAAAAACAGAACAACAAAGCAGAGGCAGACTAGAAACAAAGCAAAACAACAGAACAGAGTAGAGACAGAGCATATAGTGAAGAACATCCTGTGGAAACATCATTTTTGGTAAAAATTCTAGAAGAAGCTAAAAGTGAGATAGAGAAAAGGTTATACCTTTTGGGAAGCAGTGTTGAGATGCAGAGTAAACGAAGAGAGAGTGTGTGTGGAAGGTAGAGGGACACAAAGAACAAAGTGAGACACTATCTGTTATATAGATCCCCAAAAGCTAGAGAGAAGGTTCTTTATCTCTCTCCTGACACAACAATCATGCATTGTGTTGTGCTTATGCATAGATGGCGGCCACGAGGAGAGAGAAACGTGTGCATATTGCGTCATGTGAATGATTATTAGAGAAGAGAGAGGGTCTTCCTCTTCTTTCGAAATTGATCTCTAGGGATATTTTCGCAATAAATCTTTCCCCAAACCTATTCTGGGCTCTTCATCGTATCCATCCTCCAAACAGAATATTCGGTTAAAAGGGAACTAGTTCCAAGAGACTAATTTCTTCATTGTCTCTAATAAGAGCATCTCTAAAATATTTAAGAATTATCCTTACTGTTTTAAGGATGGTGTGGTCAGGGAAGGCTAATTTCGTCATTGTGTAGGAATGAGGGGGTTATGTATGTAGTAGAAGGCCATCGACCTCTAAAGATTCACAATGATGGCAAAGATTGGTTCGAACCATCATCCTTCAAGATTCAACTTTCAAACGTTTTGGACCATTTTAAATGCTTTCTTTCTTCTTTTATTTTCCGGATTGCTCAATATTGGTGTAGTATACAAAATCATTTTTGTTCAAAAAAATAGTGAATACAACAACGAGTGTTTGAACTTTGGAGCTCGAGAACCTACAAAAAACAATCATGGATCATAAGTGTAGTAGAACGTGAAACACCATACAAACAGTAGGGTACTTGTTTCTATATAAATGATAATATCTTTCCCAGTAAGTTCACATGTACATGTCTAGAACTCGTCCGTTTGCCCATAACTGTATGAAGGAAGGAAATGGCTACTTTTTTGAAATGAACTGATCCAATGGTATTTTGCAAATGAGACGGAATCTATCGTTTCAAATGTTCTCGAATTGATAACAAACAATTCATTTTAGGTGACTGGATACATTTTTCAATGTATTTTTTCGTTTCCACGTACGTTATTGATTAGAGATGGATTGCGATGATTTTAAGAAGTCGTGATGTAAAAATATGTCGCTATTATCTACAAGATTATTTCTCAAAGTTGGTTACAAACTGGCAAGTGCCAACCGGAAACCCACCGCTAGTTTTCACCTCACACAATTTGTCGTTAGTTTTATAAGAAAATTAAGTTGGTCCACAACGAAAGATTGTAAGTATTAAGAGTTCGTTTTATGGTACAGTATGTGATGAGCATCTCCAACCTCATTCCGTTTTGCAGTATATTATGGAGTGGTGTTGGAGATATTCTTAGAGCAATCTCATCCGCATAATATCTCACATGAAATTTACATACAATTAATACTTATATTTTAATGCAAATGAATTATTGAAATTATCTTTTGCTAATATTTAAGAAATGAAACCATTTACAGTTAAACATGTGGCAAAAGAAGTTTGAACGGGTATTAAAGAAGTGTTTGGGTAAAAGAAATTTATTCTCTTTCTTAATTTTCTGGGAAAATTATTTTTTAGGCAAAAAAAAATAGTAACGTTATCCCTTTAAGCTAATTTCTTTTTGTACCACTTTTTCCTATAATGCCCTTTATTAATTTAAAAAATAAATTAAATAAATAGTTTTAGAAACAAAAAAAAATCAAAAAATAATAACTAGTTATGAAACACCAATATCAATCTAGTGGTATTTTTGAAGTTCTAAAAATGTATAAATTTTCTTTTTTCAAATTATATTCTACATAAAGTAGAAGTGGCATTCTACATAAAGTAGAAGTGGCATTCTACATAAAGTAGAAGTGGCATTCTACAAAGTAGAAAATGAAATCCACTTTTTTCATTGAATCTAATATGTTTAAAATACAGATTCCGCGCTTAAACTATCCTTCAAAAATCAGAAGAAAACGGATTCTACACATTGCTATAAAATCTAAAATAAGTAGAAATCAGAATTTA